GGGGGTGGCGGTGGGGGGTGCTGACCATGTCAGCTGCACTGAAATCTCAAGCACCTCTTGCTGCAGTTCTGAATAAAGCAAAGCTACACCCTCCCTCGCCTCGCCTGGCAGGTGTTAAAACTATGCCCATTTTTTTTGTTTGTTTTTGATAGTGAAATGCAGGTAGGTTCTGGGCAGAGGTGGGGCGCTCCCCAGGTGAGTGCCCCTCGAAGTCCTGCAGGAGGGCAGAGCCTCAGCGCATAGGTGCCTCCCAGGTGTGGGTTTCTAGTTTTGCTTTCATCCAGAGTGCCCCCGCCCCCCCAAAATCAGTCCTCATGAAGTGGACACGGGAGCGTGATGGCTGCACCCTCTCCCCGGGAGTGGGTGGGAGGCTCGGCAGCACATGCACACTTCAGCTCGTTCACAGAAACAAACCCACGCACACACGCACCGCACACACGAACACACCGGGGCATGCAGGGCTCACCGGGCACCCCCATGCGGCCCCAGGACGCTGAGACTCGCGCACACACTCTGACTCGTTCCCCTCGGTTTGGAGACCCCACTGTTCCCTCTGCTCCGATGTCACAACCCCGCCACGTGTCTTCTCTCCCTCTGCTTCCTCCGGCCACGGCTGCCGCATGCACAGAGCCTGCGGTCCCCAGACTTACCTGAAGCCATTTCTTCTCCGACCCCGGGGGCGTCTCAGAGGTGGCGCCTGGGGGTGGGGGTGCTCCCCCGCTGAGACCCAGGACCAGGAGGTCAAAGGTCCCCGCACACTCGATGTTCAGTGTCCCTGCGAGTCCCCTGGGGCCCAGATGCCACAGGTGGGCAGAACCTGCTCCCGGGCCTCAGGCAGGCCGCACCTGGCCACACCCCACGCGCAGCAGGGGAGTCCGGGGCTACACCCCTGAACTGCTATCCCTGCCCCACGGTGCTCCGCCACGGACGTCGCTCCTGTTTCTCAGGCCGGCCCAGGTGCAGGTGTGTTCTGCCTGGTGGCTCCTGTCGCAATCACAATGAAACACCTTTCCTGTGTGTTGCCAGAGAAGACCAGGTATTTACTCAATCTGCGATTTGTTTGCTTGTCCAGCAAATAATTGAGTCATCGTCTCTGCCCTCACAGGCCTGCCATTCCGTGGGAAAGTCAGACCTCTGGAAAACCAACTTAGCGCAAGGCGGCCTGTGGCGGGCTGCAGAAGGGGGCGGGAATCCATTCTTGGGGTGTGGGTTTGCGTGAAATGTGCTCCGCGCTGGCCGGTGCGCCTCAAAGCTGCGCCTCCCCACATTTTAATGATCGGAGGCCGGGAGAGGAAACTCCAGATGTAAACCGGGAACAGCCCAGCTCTAGGGGTTAGGAGGGTCCTCTCGGGCTCACCTACTTGTTTCCGCCAATGTGGGAGACTCCGGGGCTTAGGGAGCGGCCCTCTGGCCCTTACGGTGTGGGGGCAGACACAGAGGTGACCAGAGCTGACCCCTCGCCCACCTGTCGGACACAACGTCTCCGACGTGCCTCTTCTTCAGCACGTCACAATATTTTGACGGGGGAGGGGGCAAGATGGAAATGCTGGGAAACGTTTCCCTTGGATTCTTCTCAGACCATGTGACTGAATTAAAGTTTAGTCATAGGATTCCACTTTAGCATATGCAGTTACTATAGCAATTGAGGTTTCCCTAGTAACTGTTGCAAAAATAATCTGGCCCCAATTAATAATACATTTTAAAGCTCTTTCTACTCTACCCTGAACAACCCTTTTTTTTTTTTTTTTTTTGGCCAAGAACCAGACAATTCAGGTGGTGTCATTTGCTCTGATAGAGACATCATTTGCATGTAGTGAATTGGGTTAGAAAGTGATGCCAAGGGGCTTGGCTGTTTCATGACCGGAATCCGATCTGAAAGTGACTGGCAAGCTACCGTGGGTCTTGTCTCCAGAGCTGGGCAGCTTGTGGGCGACCTTGCTGGACCCCAGAGCATCCCGGAGCTCTTGGTACCGTGGACAAAGACAGGGGACCTGGCCGGTCCGTAGAGAAAATGAGCCCCAAAGGGCAGGAGTGAGGGTGACGGGGTGGGCTTCTCCCACATCAGTGCCTGAGGGGAACACGGCTTGATGGCCTGGGGCTCCCAGGAAGGGCTGGCACCCGTGTCTGCAGAGGTACCTGGGAGTGATGGCCGTGGGGGTGGCCGAGGGGAGGACCGAGTCCTTCCAGCCGCTTAGACCGCAGTCTGCCCTCTGGCTCAGAGGCCTGGCTCCTGGCATCAGCCTCACTGCTGCCCTGCCCCACGCGCCGGCTCCGAGACAGCCTGCTGGCCTGGCCAGTGAGGAGCCGGGCACCAGTCCAGGGCCTCGGGTCCTCTCTGGGTCAAGGCCAAGCAGCAGGGTGAGGGCGCTGGCTGGCGCATCCCGCCATCCCGACCCGGCGCCCCTGGGTTTCCTTCTCAGCGGGTCCCCAGGAGCTCCGCGTAAGGAGAGGAGCAGTATTGAGGCTTTTCTGTTAGCCCCTCAGAGGAGCTTGCAACTGAGTCTTTTCCCCTCTTCCTCTCAGTAGGGGAGGCTGTGGGCGGGAGGCAGGGCCAGGAGATAAGGAAGTCTCACTTACCTTGGGAGAGAGCTTCCTGAGGCTCCATTCCCTGGTGGGGGCCCCCGAGACAGAGGGAGACTCTGTCCGCCTGTGGCTTTAGGGCGGGACGGCGGGGAGACCCGACCTGGCCCTGTTCTGTGTGACCCTTCATCCTTCGGCTCAGCCTTCCCCCCACCCCAAGGCCCACCCAGCATCCTCTAGCTGCTCTACTGCATTTCCCAGCACAGCCCCCACTCACCGGCCCTCCTGTCTCCGCAAACTGGCTTGTTGGGCTTTCCCAAGCGACCCCACACTGGGCTCTGAGGGGTACAGTGCAAGGGCATCCGTGGGCGGGACTCGAACCCGCATAGCACCCTGTACTTAGTGTCATGAGGAGCCGGGGTGCGTCTGGGGTTTGGGAGGGGGGCCATGGGGGAAAGGAAGGACAGCTGGGTGGAGGCCAGAACCCAAGGAACCTTTAAATATGGTGAAGAGGAACCTTTATCCCATATGAACTATAAGCGATATAGAACTGGGGTACAGGCCAGAGTGCAGGGACAGTGAGAGGCTTCACCGGAGACAAAGAGGGGAGCAGAAAAGGCAGACGGACAAAGTACACTGCTGAGGGGAGCCGCAGGGAGACAGGAGAGGTCTGCAGTACGGATCAAACTCGTGAAGTGGCTGGGGGATCGAACTCGTGAAGTGGCTGCTTCTAGCATCATAGCACTATGCTTTAACTCGCTGTGCCACCAGGGAGGGCCCTATTGAACTTTTTTAAGCAGGGAAGTGACCCAGGCTGGGGTCTCACTGCGCTCCAGAGGTGCTGTGATGGCGGAGAGCCGGCCTGAGAGCGGGGCTGAGGAGCCAGGCAGGTGGTCGGGGTGATCTCCCCGGTGCTGTCCTGGGGCCAGCCTCACGGACGCCCGCCGTCAGTGACCAGAGCTCTGGGGACAGCGGGTGTGACCCGCGGGGGGTGGCCGGGCCGTGCTGGGGCCTGCTGAAGCACTCCCGTTCCCTTGCAGTGACAAAGCTGCAGGTGAGCAAATCCAAGCGGACCCTCACCCTGGTGGAGAACAGGCCCATCCAGCTGAACTGCTCGGTCAAGTCCCAGACCAGCCAGAACTCCCACTTCGCCGTGCTCTGGTACGTGCACAAGCCCTCGGACGCCGACGGCAAGCTCATCCTCAAGACCACCCACAACTCCGCCTTCGAGTTCGGCACGTACGCCGAGGAGGAGGGCCTGCGGGCCCGGCTGCAGTTCGAGAGGCACGTGTCCGGGGGCCTGTTCAGCCTCACGGTGCAGAGAGCCGAGGTCAGCGACAGCGGCAGCTACTACTGCCACGTGGAGGAGTGGCTGCTGAGCCCCAACTACGCCTGGTACAAGCTGGCAGAGGAGGTTTCGGGGCGCACGGAGGTCACGGTGAAGCAGCCAGGTGAGGATGGGGCGCAGCGCTCCTGGGCTGGTGGGTTTCATGCAGACTTGCTGGGGCAGAGGCCTCTTGGAGCTGGCTGGCTGGACGCGCCCATCCTTCCCACCACGGCCCACCAGCTTTGCCCTCGGTAGACCCCAGTGCCAGAGGCTCCAGGATCTGCTGTGGCGGAGAGCCTGGGCGGGGTGGGGGTGGGGGGGTAGAGGCTGGTCCTCCTGGCAGGACTCCTGTTGCAAAGCATTTCCCGTTTCCCTCCTGACGCCTACCCCAGCCCAGGGGTGAGCCCCCAGCCCTAAAGTGAGTCACCTCTCAGCCCCCAGGGCAAGGTGGTGGGAGGGCCAGCCCAGGCCTGTTCTTCTCCCTGACAGGTGGATCCCTCTGCTGGAAGGCGTGGGCCACCACAGCCCCAGTTCTGTCTGAAAAGGGCTGTAATTTCCCTCCCAGGATTAGATCTGTTCCGAGAATAACCCATGCGAGTTTGGCCCCCCTTTCCAGCATGTGAAAGGAGCTCTTGGTGCCTCTGCCCGATTTCCCTTCTTGGTAAAGAGCTCCAATTTTTTGACTCTCACCCCACATGGCTTTAAGCCTCCACTGTCCCCCTGAACTTTGTTGTAGCTTTGACTGCTCTTCCTGAAGAACTGTGCCACGCTCAGCCTTGCTGCTGCCCTGGCCTCGTGGCATGCAGCCTACTGCCTCTCCCATCCCTAAACTTCACTCAGCACTCGGCACCACCTCCGGGAAGCCTTCCCAGATTTCTCCCCTATCTCCCAGAGGTTTCTGGCTAAAACTCAAAGTACAGGTGTTTGTTCTCCACTGTACTGTAAGCACTTTGAAAGCAGGGCTGTGTCTTTGCACTTCAGCCACTGGTATAGCACCTTAATAAATAGTGGTTGACTAAAGAATGAATGTTCACTTCCTTTGAACATACAGAACGTTGATTCTTGGAAGTGGCTTAACCTGCCATGTTGACCATAGATACACACTTGCTTGATTGTCCCCAGGTGTTGCTCATTCATTTTTACCTCGCCAGCTTTTAACCCCATCTCTCAGCGCACCTGTCATCACCTGACCTGTTGGTCATGCTTTGCTTCATGTCGGTTCGGTCATCAGTGGGCCACGTATGCCTGGTGGTCCCGACAGGCTGGGCCACACAGCCCAGTGTGCGAGGCTGTGGGTTTGGGTATAAGTCTGGGACACTGGCAAAATGGTGAGATCGCCTAAGAGCGCAGTTCTCAGAAGGCTGCCCGCCATCAGTGCCAGGCGACCATTAGCTGGCCCAGCATGGGCGACTGCTCATGCTGCCGGAAGGCCACCGGCCCCAGTCTGTGTGTTCGAGTCCCTCTCCCTGTCATCTCCTCCCTGGACTCGAAGCTGCCTGTGTTCCGTTGATTTGTCCCCTGTTCTGTGGCCGCTGCTGGTCAGTGAGTGACCTGGCGCGAGGAGTCCGGGTGGCCGGGTGCGGTGGGACTGCATGCCTGCAGCTGCCTTGTCAGCCCGCAGTGACCGCTTACACGGCCCTCCCAGGCAGGGGGCCGGATCGCACCTGCTGGCATTTTCAGGTCCACTGCAGCTCCCCGGGACTTTTGCGGTGTCTGCAGCCCCTGAAAGTGTTTCTGGTTTCTGTTCCTCTGCTTTCGTGCTGACCGTTATTTCTGCCGGCAGTGCAAGTGCAAACACCTCCCCCCTCCGCCCTATTTCCCGCGGAGTCCACCCTTCCTTTCGCTTTTTTTGTTTGTGCTGAAGCGAAGAGATTCTTAGCGGCTTCTCAACTGCCAGAGGGAGTTTCCCGCTCTGAGACAAGTGACGGGGCCGCGCGGGGCTTTGGGGGTCCCGGCCAGAACACACCCAGGAAAGTCTCGTGCGTGGGGGCCAGGGATGGTGTAAAGCAGGAGACTCACAGGCACTGGTGGAAACAACATGTTTCGCTTTCCCAGTTAAGGTTTTGGTCCCACGGGTTTCGTTTTTTATATTGTTTCCTACATCTAATTTGCTTCCTTTTTTCTCTAATTAGAACACATCTATGCTAAGCATTTCTGTGAAATACAAAAAAAAAAAAAAAGGGGAAAAACTAAATTCCCTGCTAAATTATTTTCACCCTTTAATGGCCAAAGTAATTGTAAACCAGCCTGGCAGCATTTCAAATAAAAAGTGAACGTGGCCCTCCCTGGTGGCTCAGCGGGTTAAAGCACAGCACTGAGAATCTAAAGCCGCTTCCGCATGAGTTCGATTCCCGCCTGCTCCGGAGCTGACCCACATGGCGCGGCAGACCTCTCCTGACCGGCCCGCTGCTCCCCTAAGCAGTGTACTTTGACCATCTGCCTGTTCTGTTGCCCACTCTGTCTCTGGTGAAGCCTCTCACCGCCCCTGAGCCTCTGGCCTGTACCCCAGTTCTGTATGCACAAATAAATAAAATCTTTAAAAAAAAAAAAAAAAGTGAACATGCAGGACCCCCCTCCCCAACTTGCCATGCAGGAGATGGGGACCCCAGGATGCATTTGGGGCTTGGGCTTCCCCTGCCCTCTGATGCAGGTGGGCACACCTGGGCTTCCGTGCAGGCGACGGCATTGGGGCGGCCAGGCACTCCCCCGAACCACCGGTCGCATCAGTGTCTGTTCTGATGTCAGGTCCGCTCGGGTCCCACCTATGTGGGGTCTTTGGAAGGACAGGGGGGCTGCACGTCTAGGCCAGCTCTGGGCGTACAGAAGTGGGTCTCCTTGGCGGTTCTTTTGTGCCGACAACCCAGCCCGTTCTGCTGGTCACGTAGCCAGTGTCCTTCCCTGTCCCCCCCAGCGGCCATGAGCTTCGTAGTCGGCCGCCGTGTGGAGGTACAGCCACCCGCGGCCCGCACCGCCCTCTCCTGAGCGCCCGAGCTGACGAGGGTCATACACGGGGCACACAGCTGCCGTCACCGGAGCTGTGGCATGGCAGCTTGAGTGCCGCTGCTCAGCGTGCGAGTCCGAGCTGTTTCTGCCGCCTGCCCGCTCACCTGTTTGGAGAGGTACGTGGCCTCTGCCCTCCGCCCGCTGACCCCTCTCCCCTCGCCTTGCAGACAGCCGCCTGAAGCTCAGCCAGGCCCAGGGGAACCTGTCCGTCCTGGAGACCCAGCAGGTGCAGCTGGAGTGCGTGGTGCTGAACCGCACGAGCGCGGCCTCCCAGCTGCTGGTGGAGTGGTTCGTGTGGAAGCCCAACCACCCCGAGCGGGAGACGCTGGCCCGCCTGGGCCGGGACGCCACCTTCCACTACGGCGAGCAGGCGGCCAAGAACAACCTGCAGGGCCGGCTGCACGTGGAGAGCCCCTCGGCGGGGGTGTTCCGGCTCTTCGTGCAGAACGTGGCCCTGCAGGACAGCGGCACCTACAGCTGCCGCGTGGAGGAGTGGCTGCCCAGCCCCAGCGGCGTGTGGTACAGGCGGGCCGAGGACACCGCGGGGCCGACGGCCGTGGCCGTCACGCGACCAGGTGAGGCAGCGGCCCTTGCCCGCGCCCGCCCCGGGGGTGATGTTTTCCTTGCAGCGTACTGCGCGAACGCATCGCTTGCATTGAAGTAGGTGGGCGTTTGTAGTTTGTATTTGCACCCAGGATCATCTCAAAAATTGTTCCCCATGTGAATGGAAAATTGCACGTCTGTCTGGCTTTGTCCTGGAGTGACCCCGGAGCCCAGGATAGTCGCTGTTTAAGGGAGATGTTCAGATTCAGAGAAGTGGCCGCTGTGCAAAAGTCTCAAAACAGCAGCTGTGTGGATTAAATGAATTTAAGCTTGTGCGTTTTCAGTGGGAAAGAATTGATTCAAGCGATTTCAAATGGAGAAAAGAGGAAGCGCCTGCAGCTCGCTCTTGTTTCCTAACAATGCTGAGAGGTGCAGGCCTCAGGGTCCTGACTCATCTGCGGTGAGCTGCCCGGTCCCCCCAAGGTTGCAGAGCAGAACTTGGTGCCCGGCCGCCACCTAGAGCTCAGTGTGTCAGCTGTGCACCGCAGACCCAGAGGGGCCGAAGGGGCTGCAGAGGGGCAGGGCAGAGCCCCACGAAAGAGGTGAGGGGACCAGCGTGTGTTTGCCTGCGAGCGACGCTCAGCCAGCTCGTGGGCAGCCCGCGCGCCTCTCGGGAATGCTCCTGTTTGGTCTCCGTCCAGGCGCCGGGCGGGCCTCGCTCCTTCTGTTGACGCTGCCCTGGCGGTTCTCGTGAGCATTTCATCGGCAGCGCCAAAGGAGGATTTTAGGGAGCCAGGACCGAAGTATTTGTTTAGAACCTGCCCCAGCGAGCCAAAACCAGAGAAAGGCCACAGCCAGCAAGCAAAGGCAGAGGTCAGGCCAGTCTGGTGGCCTGAGGCCGCCCGGCCTGCTGGGGCGTCCCCACCGCAGGGAGGGCCTGTCCCTGTCACCTCTGGCCCTTTCAGCTCTGCTGTCTGTGCTTGGCTCCGTGCCTGGTAGGATGTCCACTCCTGGCGCTGGCCCAGGCGGCTGCAGAGCAGCAGTTTAAATCAGGCCTGACGGGCGGAGCCGCCCGGGCCGCTCACCACAGCGAGAGAGCGTGTTCCCTGCAGGCTGGGCCAGAGGCCAGGGGTCAGGGTGCCCCCAGGGCTGCGCCCTCCTGAGGGTTTAGAGGAGAATCCTCGGCTCATCAGCTGCTGTGGCCCCAGTGCCCCCGGCTCCTTTGCCTTGGAGCTGAACGCCTCCATTTCTGCACCCCATCTCTGCACCCCCTATCTCTACACCCCTCCATCCCTGTACCCCATCTCTGTACCCCTCCATCTCTGAGCCCCTGCAGCCTCTGCACCCCTCCATTTCAGCACCCCTCCATGCACCCCTGCAGCCTCTGCACCCCTCCATCTCTGTACCCCTTTATCTCTGCACCCCTCCATCTCTGCACCACTCCTGTCTCTGAACCCCTCTTGTCTCTGAAGCCCTCTATATCTGTGCCCCACTAGTCTGCACCCCTCCAGCCTCTGCACCCCTGTGTCTGCACCGTTCTGCACCACTGGCCCGTCTCTGGGCCCTGCATATCGCCAGCTCGACGAGGACGCGTCACTGCGCTCACCCTGTCCCATACGTATGGTCATGAGCAAGACCCCGTTTCCAACCCCAGTGAATTTCTGAGGTTCCAGCAGGTCGGCGTATGGGGGGGGGGCCGAAACGCTCCTCAGCTCCCCCTGGCTCCCAGAAGCAGCCGGTCACCCGCCCCTTGTGCGCTCGCCCACGGTCTTCCTGCGGCACCAGCAGGCCCCACGGTCTTCCTGCGGCACCAGCAGGCCCCCTGTACCCACCACCTCGGGGGCTCCGTGGGCGTCTGTGTCTCCGCCCCTCCGCCCGCGCTCTGCTCCCGCACCAGCGCTTCCTCTCGCCGGCCTCGGCTCTGTGGCGTGGATGTTGGCGTGAGGTCTCTAGTCGGTATTCCAGCAGGGAAATTAAACCAGCCTCTCTCCCATCTCGCCCCGCCCCAGACGCGGCCCTGCAGGTGGACACGGTGGTCCCCAACGCCACGGTGTCCGAGAAGGCCGCCTTCCAGCTGGACTGCAGCATCGTGTCTCGCTCGAGCCAGGACTCCCGCTTCGCTGTGGCCTGGTACTCCCTGAGGACTAAAGTCAGTGGGAAAAAGGGCAGCCCTGGCCTGGAGGACCCGGACGGCCCGGAGGACGAGGGGGCGGCGGAGGAGGGGCAGGAGGAGGACCCCACGGAGCGCACGGCGCTGCTGAGCGTGGGCCCCGACGCCGTCTTCGGCCCGGAGGGGACCCACTGGGAGGGCAGACTCCGCTTCCAGAGGCTGTCGCCGCTGCTCTACCGGCTCACGGTGCTGCAGGCCAGCCCCCAGGACACCGGCAACTACTCCTGCCGCGTGGAGGAGTGGCTGCCCAGCCCCCAGAGGGAGTGGTACCGGCTGACGGAGGAGGAGTCCGCTCCCATCGGCGTCCGCGT